CTCCCGCCTTTGTCCCGTGCTGGGGTCTGGGCCTGCCCGAGGCAGATCAGATGGGATGGCACAGCAAGAAACGCTGCGCACAATGGCCAATTGTGCACGTACGTGCTGAAAGGGGGTCGAACAGTGACGGGTTAGCCTGCAGTGGCCATCGAAACTCTGTCTCGGAACGTTGGGCAATTCACGCGGTCGCTTTTGATGATGCCGTTCTGCTCCCACCTTGGACTATCAATTGGATGTGTGTCGATTGCTGTTGTCTGGTCCGGCAACGTCCGCCTCCTCCGCTTCATCACGATCGCCACGCTTCCCTGGTTTGTCACTGTTTTTTGTCCAACTGGCATTGACGCTTTGACGCTTTGACGCTGAAAAGCGTCGTCGTGCCGATACGTTGAAACGAACATTTTAGCAAGCCAGCCGTGAACTAGTCAAGCCCAAGGGGCCAGATGGGTCAGACACTCGCGTACCAAAGGAAAGTTCAGGGAGGAAGGTGGATGAGGTGGAACAACAATGTGAGGTCATTTCTAAAGGCCCTGGCTAAACGCTGCAACCCCCGTTTGACAGAATCCTCCAACCTCGTGCATCAGAGGCAAAGCTTGAACGTCTGGGCTAGCCTCAATGTGGAGTTAGCCTGGAGGAAGGAATCCGCGGGATGTATCGGACATCTCCTCCGACAAATGGCTAAGTATGCGAACCTGGACCCATGGGCCCGCCCACCAGCAGGACCGACCAAACCGGACGCCTCACCCAACCAGCCTCCAATACGCCCACAACTAGCTCGAACTTGTTCAGTCGCGGCGGTGGCGGACGCGCACCGCGTCTGTGGCCTAAGTGGAGGCGCTTCTAGAAGACGTGTGCACAGGCAGCCAGGGCACTGAAGAGGGGGGCTGCGGAGGACGAGGGAGCAGGGAGGCGCACACATGCCATGGGGGCTTCGGGAGCCGTGCGGCGGTCACGGGCTCCGAGTCGGAAAGGAGCGAGCGCTCAGGACTGGGACTGACCGTGGAGAGCGGGTGCGCAGCGCGGTCCTGCCAGGGCGCAAGAGCTGCGTCCTCCTCCTCCTCCTCATCCTCCTCCGTCTCCTCCTCCCCCTCTCCTCCTCCTCCTCCTCCTCCTCCTCCTCCTCCTCCTCCTCCTCCTCCTCCTCCTCCTCCTCCTCCTCCTCCTCCTCCTCGAAGAGAACCAAGGGTGGCACACTGCCAGGGCAAAGCGCAAGCCTGCGCTGAGCCGAAGTCGGAGCGGTCCGCTGGGACCGGGTCCGAGGAGTGTTGTCGACTGCGGAGCCTGGATGCGAGCTCCTGCCCACCCAGAGGCCCGTCGCGGGCGAGCAGGGCACGGACTGCCAACGAGGTGCCAAGGGGTGCGGATGCAGCGCACGGCCAGGAACCGTGCGGACGCTGAGCGGGGCTCGTGCAACCCGCCAAGCGGGCGGCGGGAGGTGCCAGCCGCGTGCAGCAGCGGCGCGGCAGGCCCGCGGCGCGCGCCGACCCTGGTGGCGGGCCGGCGCGAAGCGAGCTGACATCCTGCGGTGCCAGCGCTGGCGCAGGGCGCCTGGCGCTGCAGGCCCCCGAGGCGGCAGCCGCGCCTTCGCCCTCACGCCTGCGCCGCGGCCTGCGACCCGCATCGCGGGCCAGGCCGCGGCGCGGGTGCTGTGCCTGGGACGCCGGTGTCGGCGCCGCTCGAAGAGGCACCAGGGCGGCAAGCGCGGGCGGGCTCTTAGCGCCGCCCGCGTCCACGGGAGTCCCCACTGATCCAGACGTCGTCCGCCTCTTGCTGCCAGCCAGGCCCTCTGTCTGGAGGTCAACGACCTCCGCGATGGACCCCACGGCCTCCTGCGGCACGCCGTCAAGCACACCTGCGAGTCGAGGAGCTCCGTGTATTGTGCCCGCGGTGATGTAGGAGGCGTCGGCCCGCACACCACCGTCCTGGTCGTGCGACTGCTTCTGCGCCACGGCGATGGAAGTTTCCACGAGCCCGCTGCCGTGCGCCACCACGAATGAGAAGGCTTCGGGTTGCGCAAAGGCGGCCTGGCGCCGCCTCCGCGCCCCTGGGGCGCTCCGCGCCCCAGGGATGAGGTATCGAGGCCGCCCTGGATGACTCGGTGGGCCTGCTGAGGCCGGCTGGGCTACATGGGGGGGGCTGCCTGTGCGCAGCCCGAAGCCTGACCAGCTCCACGCGCCCCGCGATGGCATCCTCGCTGCCGTTCGCCACCACGAACTCGTGGAAAAACCGCCAGGGCCGCCGGGGCATCCCCGGCGTGGCGGCGCAGCCCGCAGGACCCGCCGCAGAGCGCGCGGCGGGGCGAGGCGGAGAAGTCGGTGCGCTGACTGCGCGCACAGAGGCCACGGGCCCGCGCCAAGTCGGGACCTGCTGCGAGCGACAGTAACCAGCCTCGAACCTATCCCTATCCCTAAGATTGACACGCCCAAAGGCGATGACGATCTTAGGGATGCACCCTCAGAAACTGAGGGAATCCCTCATATCGCCATCGTGATGAGGCGATGCCCAACATAGGGATAGGGGATAGGGACAGGTTCCAGGCTGGTAGGACAGGCTCGTCTACGCGCAGGAGTGATTTGGGGCACGAGTGGCCTCTGACGCGGGGCTTCCGGGGGCCGCGGGAACGCCGAATCCGAGCGCGCAGGCCCTTGCGGGGGGACCCCCTGTGAGCCCGCAGCCACGAGGTCACTCCGGCGAAAGGCCACTCGAGGCACACAGAAAGGCAGAAGCGTGAACTTTCGGACTTCGGAGCGCCCCTCCCTGGCGCGCGGAGCACACCGAGGGGCGGCGTCAGAGACGGCGCCAAACGAGGATGGAAGAAGTCCGCGAGGAGCTCCGATCATGTGTTTATACATGAGAGGAGGAGGAGGGAGAGGAGGAGAGGAGGAGGAGGAGGACAAGGAGGAGGAGGAGGAGGAGGAGGAGGAGGAGGAGGAGGAGGAGGAGGAGGAGATGTGGTGCTGCTCCGAGTCACTCTTTCGGCGACTCCGAAGGGTGTGGTCTGCGACGGGTGTGGTCTGCACCGGGCACCCTGGACGGCACCCTGTAGGCAGCGGGCGGGGACCTCGAGAGAGTTCCCCGCCGCGCCCCCGAGAAGGGCCCGCCGAGGACCGCGTCGTACCCCCCCGGGCGCCAACGGCGCCGATCGCAAACCACACGCCAGTCGTGGCTCCCGGAGCCAGGGCTGCGGAGGGCGGCTTCGGGGAGCACCGAGGCGTTTGGAGCACGTCTTGTGCACTGGCATGCCGTCGCTTGGAGCACGTCAGGGCACGTCGTCCGGCAGCTTTGGGGAGCACCGGCACGCCGTCGCCTGGAGAACGTTCTCGTGCATCTGTCTCGTCCGCCAAGCTCCTGCACGTCAGGGCCCCGTAAACCCGGACACGCTAGACCTGGACACCCAGCATCTCTCGAAACTAATTTTGCCAGACGGCGGCACGAACAAAATACTGCACTGCAACATTTTCGTAATAAACGCGGACGCACGCCCTATATGCCCGCAGGACCCGCCTAAACGCGGACACGAACCCGGATCCTGCAATGCGAGGGCAAAGAGTCCTGGTAGAAACGGGTCCTGGACCCCAGACCCTTGCCCAGGACAATGGTCTGGCCCGAGCAGTTTTTGACTCCAGAGCGTGAGAGAGGCCCGGACAGAGAGCCTGAAAGCATAGAGACAACTCGAGTTAAGTCGGGCCTGTCCCCCTACAGGGGGATTTTCAACGAAGAATAAAAGATACCCCACAAAACAACAACAAATAATCAAAAAGTAGTCTGGGGACTATTTTTTGAGTATGTTCCCTACCTAGGCTCTGCCTAGAAGGGTTCTTACTCGGTAGCTTAAAAGGCCAGGCAGTGGGACCCGCCCCGGGCGGTTCCCCCGGCATCCGCCCCGCGGTTCCCCCAGTGACGTTCCCTTAGCTTCGCGTTGCTTATCTCATCTTAGCTTAGCTTATTTCATCTTACCTTAGCTTAGCTTCATCTTAGCTCAGGTTTAGCTTAGCTTAGCTTACCTTCATTTTAGCTTCGCCGAGCTTTAGCATAGCAGAGCACAGCATAGCATAGCAAAGCATAACACAGCACAGCGCAGCACAGCATATCATAGCACAACCCAGCATAGCACAGCATAGCGCAGCATAGCATAGCATAGCATAGCATAGCATAGCATAGCATAGCATAGCACAGCACAGCATAGCACCGCGCAGCATAGCATAGCATAACATAGCAGAGCAGAGCATTAGCATTAGCATTAGCATTAGCATGGCATAGCATAGCAACTAATGCTGCTTTCCTAGGGGCTCCAACTTCTAGGTAGGGTCGCACTGGGGTAATTTTGACCTTTTTTGGTGCATGTTTGGGGTATTATTTATTTGTTCGTCGAACATCCTCCTGTAGGGGGACACGCCCGACATAGAACTCGAGGGAGCCCACAAAGGCGGTACGCGCCCAGCCACGTAATTTCATGAATGCGGCCCCCCAGTCCGCGAGGCCAACCTCGTGTTACGAACGTCTGCGAAAAGTGTACTTTCGAAACCAACGAGGATTCACATACGTGTGCATCCTTCTTTCGCTCGTGAAAGCCCAGAGCACTTTCACAGGGGCCCCTGCTATTCATGCCGACCCGGAACCAATCGGTCCTCCAGCCTCTCGAGGGGTGCGTCTGGGCTAGAATTTCGAAGGGAACCCATCCGTGCAGACAGGCAGCCTAGCAGGAACCCGCCAAGGGCGGAAAGCCGTACCACACCTACCGGAAATCCCTGAAACCTACGTCGTCGCAGACATGCATGCGATGTCCTGTTTTGGTCAATGCGGGGTCCCTGGAAGCCCAGGGGATCGAGCACTGCAGAAAACCTCCCGTCGTGTTTTTTCCACGACGCGAACGTTTCCGGCGTCGCGATTTGCCCATCCGAGAGAATCGAGCCAGGCTGCAGCCGGACCGCCGCCGCAGCGGCGACACTTCTGGGCGGGAGGCTCAAGCCGAACGCGCCCGCCCGCATCTAACAGGGAGCGGCCGGGGTCGTTCGAGGCGTCCGTCTCGAACTTATGGCGGATGGCGCCCTCGGGGACGCCCGCGTTCTTCATCCTGCGGTACACTGCGTACCTCTGGGAAGCTGCGCCAGATACGTACAGTCGGACCCAGGCCAGAAGAACATCCTTGAAGAACATGGGACCCTCCATCGGCCAAAACACAAAGAACATCCAAGGGCACACTCCCCAGGATGCGCAAAAGCATCCAACAAGCACGAAGCATATGAGGGTACCCTCCCCGAACCGACCTCGATCCCATACCTTGGTCTGACTGTACGTAAGAAGGCGGCAGGGCTCTTGCGCGAGCGGGCACGGCAGCCTCAGGCAGTAGGCAGCCTGCGGCAAGTCTGCGTCGTGACGGCGCTTGCGCTTTGGTCTCCGGCACCACGTGGACCGTTCAACCTTCCGGGGATCTACTGACCCGGGTCCATCCAGACCAGGGTCAGTTGGGCCTTGCACAAGATCCTGCAATATCCTGCAGGATCCTGCACCCAAGCCCAGGTCAATGCACCCCCGACCCTGCAGAATCCTGCAAGATCTGGCGCTATGACTGACCCGTATTTGCATGGACCCCCGTTTCTTGAAAGACCTGGAACGGTCGTGGCCTTCGGGCGGCGCGGATCGTTTCTGACGTCGGCCGGTTCCAGGCCGCGGGCGGTGCTCAACCTTTTGAACGCCCGCGCTGGGGTCGCCACAGCTTCTCGGCGGCGAGGAACGGGGGGAAGTGTGAAGGAAAAGGGCCTCTCAGAAGGCGGCGGGACTTCTCGGGAGCCCTCGCACCCTCTGCGAGGCTTTTCTGCATCTTCGGGGACGGCCAAGGAAACTTCTCAGAAGGCCAGGGGACTTCCGAGCCTTCTGAGAAGGCCTGCCCCTTCTCACCTCCCCCCCTCCCTCGCCGCCGAGCTTCGACACGACACGAAGCTACCGCACGCAGGCCAATTCACGCGGCCCGTCGCGTGGAACAGGTGGCGTTTCGGCGCGGCGTCGCGCGGCCAGCTTACGCGGTCGGTGTCAACGCGGTCGATCACCTTTTCTTTTCGCAGCCCAGAGAGGAAGCAGAACAGCGCCATGCAATCGTCGGGCTGCATCGGATCGGCGGAAAATCGGAATCGAATCCGATCGGGCCGACTGGAATCGACATCGAATCCGATCGATTGGACCCCGGGCACTGACACGCCATGTGTTACAATGGGAGTATCAACAGCCCCGCTTGCTGATGAGGACCCGCACCCTGGAACCGCTCCGCACCGCATCGCTTTAATCAATTGGTGGAAAGGGGCCCTGTTCTGTGCTCATACCCACACTGCATGGGAACTCACTGGCGTCCCTTGTTCCGACCTGAAGTGGGTCGATCGATCTGCATCACAAGTTTTCGTAGACCCTCAGGGGGTGGGGTTCGAGTTCTCTAGACGGCTCTCGCGTAATCACGCCCTCCTCGTCGAAAGGGCCATCCGTTGAGGCTGCGAGGGTGTCCCAAGGCGAACCAAACTTTCTATCAGAACGCCTTGAGCTAGAACCTGGAAGACCACGCACACGCGACCTCCTGCGCCATCAGTTACACCAGGAGATGGCTTTCCGTTCCCATCATCCTCGGTCCCTCGTCCTCCTCCTCCTCCTCCTCCTCCTCCTCCTCCTCCTCCTCCTCCTCCTCCTCCTCCTCCTGAAAATGACGAGGCGGATGACGACGACGACGACGACAAGCGCGGAGGAGGAGGAGGAGGAGGAGGGGGAGGAGGAGGAGGAGGAGGAGGAGGAGGAGGAGGAGGACGGAGAACCATGCGGGGCAGAAGGGGAGTGCCGAAGGACTAGGAGCTCCTCCAAAGTTCAGGCAGGCAGGCCCACGAGGGACACATGGGTCCGGGGCGTCCGAGCGCTCCGAGAGAGGGCGGCGGTGCCCGGTGCGTTCCCGACGCACGTCAGCTCTCAGTTTCAGTCGGGGAACCCGAAATAAGGAACGAGGCCTTTTTTTTCCATAAGTTAAACTTCGATTTCCCTTCGGAAACCAAAGGAAACCCTGAGGCAAGCTGTGAAAAAATTAAGGAACGCGGAGCCCCTCCACCACGAAAAGGGTTCCTTCTTCAGCGCACCGACTGTATCCCCGATTTACGATTTATCGTCGTCCGAGCTTGTCCTCCTCCCGCCTTCGTCCCTTGCCGCAGAGCCCTGTATACGGGCAGCCAGACAGACAAAGGCTCTGGCACGTCCGAGGCAGCTGCAGCCTTGCGGCCGGGGCATCCTCCATCCTGTGTGCTTCTCCCCCATTGCGGTCGGGGACTTTTGCTTAGCGCGTCGCGGCGATGGCTTCCTCGACACACCGCGAGTCGCTCCGCTCCGCTGGCGGGAGACTGGGAAAAGCTCGGGATGTGAAAGCTTCCTGGCGGCGCACACATGGGGTGGAGGGAGGGGGGGAGGCTTCTTAGCAGCAGGCGGCTTCTCAGAAGGCGGCGGCCGTACACCTACAGATAAGTCCGCACCCTCTAAGAAGCAGGGGTCCTTCTGAGAGGCCTTCCCCCTCCCCCTGCTCTCCTCTGCGCGTGGTTGAGCTTGGGGGCTGGGACGTGATTGGCGTGCGGCGCCGAAGCTTGGTGGGCCAGAACTGGCGACGCGGCACGCTGAGCGGACGCTCCTGACCGTGGAGGCATAAACTGGCCCAAGGCAGCGGCGTGGCCGCCGAAAGCCTACGCGGCGGGCCTGCCAAGCAAGAGCTGTTTATCAACACTACAGGCTCGACATCGTCAGCTGCTGCTTCGTGAAGAGGGAAGTAAAAGCCTCCCAGATGGGGTCCGAGTAGATGGAGTCGAAGGATCTCACCGCATCGGTGATGCAACGGTGATGCATCGGCGATGGACTGGCGACGTCGGCGATGCATCGGCGACGTCGGCGTGAAGCAAATCAGGCTCCACACTCGAGACACATCGGCGATGCATCCATCGGTGATGCAGCGCGATCTTCCGACCCCATCTACTCTCAGGTCGGGCATGTCCCCCTACAGGCGGATTTTGGAAGAAACAATAAAACTCCTATTCAAAAATGATCCAAATTAGTGGAACCATCGTCCCCCGACTATTTTTCTACTATTTTTGAACATTCCTCCTGTAGAGGGACACGCCCGACTTAAATCTACTCCGACCCCATTTAGGAGGCCTCGGGCAAGCCATAGCAAACCCAAGGTTCAAGATGGACGGTCCTGGCCCTTCTTGGACTTCTTTGGCACCTGGACGCCTCGAGGGCTCGGCACGCCTCCGCAGAGACCTCCGGAGGTCTCCCGAGAACTCCACGGGGACCTTCGAAGCCTCCGGAGACCTGCGGCCGAGGGCTGATGGGGGCAGAACCCTCCTCGATGGGGTCCGAGCCCTCGGAGGCTTCCGGGTGCCGAAGAGGTCCACGAGGGACCAGAACCGTCCAACTTGAACCTTTGGTTTGCTGTGGCTTGTTCCAGGCCTCCTAGATGGGGTCCGAGTAGATGGGGTCGCAGGATCGCGCCGCATCGCCGATACATCGGCGATACATCGCCGATGCCTCGGCGACATCGGCGAAACACCAGCGACGTCGGCGTGGGGAACATCGGGCTCCACATCGAGCCGCATCGCCGATGCATCGACAAATGCGGCGCGATCCTCCGACCCCATCTACGCCGACCCCATCTGGGAGGCCTACAGAAACGGCGGGCTGAGACGGGGGGAATGCGGAGTCAGAGTCGGAGTCGGAAATCTGGGCAGCGGACATGTCTCAACCTCGCGTTAGGTCGGGCGTTTCCCCCTGCAGGCGGGTTTTGGACGAACAATGAAAGATAGTCAAAACATGTTCAAGAATTATCAGAATTAGTATAAATATCGTCACCATATTATTTTTCATATTTCTGACAAGTCCTCCTGTAGAGGGACACGCCCCACTTACGTCTGGGCTCTTATGGTAAGAGTGCTACCGCTGCTGACGTGCGCAGTGGCAGACACAAGGGGGACGCCTGCGGAGCCCTTGCCACTGGAGCGGGAGGAGGAGGCGTGAGGAACACGAACTCCAATCAGGAAACGATCCGTCCTGCTTCCTTGGGCTAGCGTTGGGTCGGGCATGTCCCCCTACAGGCGGATTTTGGACGAAACAATAAAAACTGTTTGTTGTTAACAAACTGAGTCAAACATATGCAAAAAAACATAATTACCAAATCGTCCCCAGACTATTTTTGTCTACTTTCGAATATGCCCCCTGCAAAGGGACACGCCCGACTTAAGGCTAGCGGGCCCCGGGGGGAAACAGAACCTGGACCCTCGAGCCTCCCTTAAAGCCAACCCTCCACACCGAGCCGCTTCTGACGGTCCCGGGGCCCGGGGGCGGCCCCGGGACCTTGAGAACTGAGGAAGACCTCCAGGAGCCCTTTCCCTCATTACATGACAAAGCGCCATAAACAAACTTTTGGCGCTACGCGCAAATTTCTTGGGTCTGCGGTGGACCCCCCTCCTTGGCGCGCGGAGCGCGCCAGGGGCGGCGCCGGGGGGGGGGCCCAGCGCGGATCCAAGAAGTCCGCGCGGAGCGCCAACAATTTATGTTTATGTAGTTGTTCCTCCTCCGACTTGTGCTGACCTCCCCCCAGAACACAAAAAAACAACGTGAGGCGTCTGGATGATCGCCCCGCGGATCGTGGCTGCCGGGAAAGACAAACGCCGTTGAGCCCGAGGCCCCGTCTTTCCCTCCCCGTTGCAGGGCGCGAGGTGAGACCACGGCAACTTCCCTCCCACACAGTCCAAACGCACCGAATTCTCGGGCTGCGGCCAGCCGTGGAGGCGAACCCGGCTACACTCAAGAGTGACCCTGGGCAAGAGTGACCTTTGGTGCGCGGAAGGAGGGGGCGCAAAGTGGCCGAGTCTGAGCGCGCACGCAGCCCGTATCGCATCGGGCGCAGTAGTCCGCCGACCCCTTGTGGGTCTCTAGGCGTGTGAGATAGTTCCCCCCCCCATAATCCCCCCCCAGGGACCCCAAACCGGAGATTTGACCCCCCCCCCCCGGGCCCAGCACGAGCGCGCCACGGGGCTCTTTCGGGCCCAAAAGGGGGATCAAGACAGGCCCAGAAGGCTCCAAGAGGCCTCCAAGACGGCCCACGAGGGGCCCGAGACGCCAAACGAGCGCTCCCAGACGCCCAAGATGGCCCCAAAACGAGCCTAAAGGCCTCCAAGACGGCCCAAGAGGTCCCCACGAGGCCCCAAGAGGCCCCCAAGATGCGTCCCAAGAGGGTCCCTAGACGCAAAAATTGACCCATTCCCTTCGTAAAACGTTTAAGTTTCACAAATTCGCTTTCTGGGCTTTCCGACGCTCCAAGACGGCCCAAGAGGCCCCCAAGACCGCCCCAAGACGGCCCAAGAAACCTCCAAGAGGGTCCCAAGATAGCCCAAGAGGGCCCCAAGACGGCCCAACAAGCGTCCAAGACAGCCCAACAGGGCCCCGAAAAGGGCCCCAAGAGCGCTCCAGGAGCGCCCCAAGTGGCCTCCAAGAGAGCTCAATATGGCCCCAGACAGCCCAAGAGCGATCAAAGACACCGAAGATGGCCTCCTGACGGCCCAAGATGCCCCCAAGAGGCCCCAAGAGGCATCCAAGATGCGTCCCAAGAGGGCCTCTAGACGCAAAAATTAGCCCGTTCCCTTCGTAAAGCGCGCGTTTTTCACAAATTCACCTTTGGGCTTTCCGACGCTCCCAGACGGCCCAAGAGGCCCCCAAGACCGCCCCAAGACGGCCCAAGAAGCCTCCAAGAGGGCCCCAAGACAGCCCAAGAAGGCGCTAAGACGGCTCAAGAGGCGCCGAAGACGGCCCAAGAGAGCCCCGAAGACGGCCCCAAGAGCGCTCCAAATGGCTTCCAAGAGAGCTCAACATGGTCCCACACGGTCCAAGAGCGATCGAAGACACCCGAAATGGCCTCCAGATGGCCCAACACGCCCCTGAGAGGCCCCCAAGATGCGTCCCAAGACGGTCCCTGGACGCAGAAATGTACTTATTCCCGTCGTAAAACGTACAATGTTCACACATCCGCCTTCTGGGCTTTCCGACGCTCCTAGACGGCCCAAGAGGCCCCGAAAACCGCCCCAAGACGGCCCAAGAGGCCCCCAAGACGGCCCCGCGACGGTCCAATATGGCCCCAAGACGGCCCAAGAGGTCCCCAAAACGGCCCAAGAAGGCTCCAAGACGGCACCAAGAGGGGCCCAAGAGGGCAACCAACAATTCAAAAATCTAGCTTTCCGCCCCCACGAGCCCCAGGGGGCCCCAAGAGCGCCCCAACAGGCCGCCAACGGCCCTCAAGAAACCGCCAAGACGCCCCAAGGAGCCCACAAGAGGCCCCCAGGAGGCCCCCAAAAGACCCCCAGACGCTTCCGTATTGCGAGCCGTCACGCCAACTGCAATGCACTCCGCGCATACAACCTTACTCTTCCTCGCGACGTGCTCACTATCTTGCTCGGCGCTAATGTGCTGCTGCCGCGCGAACTGTTTCGTGCGCGCTGCGAACGTCAACAGCCTCTTCACCCGTTTCGATTCATCTGCCACATCTTTCGCTGTGATGCTTCGCTGATCACAGCTTCCACACACTACTCTTGCTCCTTTCGTCTTCCCGTGCTCCTCCACTTGGTTGCGGGTCGAAAGGCCGACCTCCCAGAAGGACACCCCGCACCCGGGTGCACAGCACGCAAAGCGCTCGCAAAACACGCCCCAGACCACCGGCATCACGCAAACATTTGGACCCCCTACGTATCTGCCACCACCCGCGCGCGACACCGCACCCTCACACAAGACGCCGCTGGCCAGAAACTCCTGGCCTCGCAACACTCACAGAAGGGGTCGGCGGATGTGGCGTAAGCCTGTAGAATCGTGGGGGCCCCGATGAGCCCGCACCAAAGGTCACTCCAGCGAAGGGTCACACGTGTAGCCGACTATCCTTGTCTCTCAGCTCGCCCCCCCCCTCCGAAGCTGGTCCCAGGGGTGTCTGGGACCCCCTCCCCGGCCGGCAGCTCGTCCGGGATTTCTGAGGGCCCCGGGGCCTGATTTGAGCAGGGACCGACCGTCCCGGCCCGTAGAGCCGAAACATGTTCTAAGAACAAAGGCAAGGTTCTCAGAGGATACTCCAGATTTCGTAGTAAAGGGAGGGGGGTCTCATTTCGGGGGGGGTCTCTTCCAGGCTATCTTGGAGGGCCTGGGGGGTCTGGGGACGATGTTTTGGAGGGTTCTCCCACGGGGGAGGCCTGAAATGGCTTGTCTTGGAGGGTCCAGACCCCCTCCGTTTTGTTACGAAATCTGGAGTAAGGCTTCTGCTGTAAAACGAGGCAGTCCCCGCCAGCACTGCTCGAAGGACCTCCCGTGCAGACCAGGAGAAAGGCTCTCAGGGCGTTCCTTGGTGGGCCCGGACGCTTCGCCACTGCGGGACGGAGACCGGACGCCCGACGCCGGAAAAACTCGAGGAGAAGCGCGGGGAGGGAACAGACATGCCCCCCAATCAGTGAAAACGACCTGAGGCCCAATCCTGGCGGGCGCAAGCCTGGAAGATGACGGCCACGGCGCCCTCTCGAGCACCGAAAACGGACAATCCACGAATCGACGCGTCACTGTTGGTAGGGGGAAAACAAACCTACCTCGCTTTTGACCACCCTCGCTTCCAAGAGATACCGGGCGATGCCAAACTGCGGCCTGTACCGATCAGGCCGCGTGACGAGGAGGCGCGTGGTATGACTTGGTTTTGCCTGGAAGCGAACGCGGGGTAGGTAATTCACGCTCTGAAGGATGGAACAAACATGCCCCAGCAACGCACCCTAAGACCAGCAAAGGTGAAGAGGCGGATCGAGGAGTGGGAGGTCGGCGAGTGAAAAGGTGGCGGGGCAGGGTTAAGAGCACGGCGACGTGCACCGTAGCGTATCTTCAACAAAGGGTGGTGGCCGTCTGGAGAAAACGTGAAGCCCAGCATCGCGGCCAGAACACGACTCCTGAATTCGTGAATTGCGTGGGGCCCTCAGGCGAAACTGCTGCCGGCACCGGGCGGGGCACGCGGTCACCCCTGCGGGACTCTTCTGTGGCCGCGGTTCTTTGTAGGCACTCTTAGAACCCTTTTTGGCGAAACGCTCTTGGGAATCAAAGCCTTGGCGACTCGGAGGCCAGCTCCCTTCGTTGCGAGCGGGCGCCTCTCATCGCCGATGCATCGGCGACTTCGGCGATGCATTGCCGCCGTCGGCGTAGAGAATATCGGGCTCCATATCGAGCCACATCGCCGATGCATCGGTGATGCGGCGCGATCCTTCGACCCAATGTACTTCGACCCCATTGGGTGCAACCACCAGGTACGCACCGATACCGCTACTACCTGGACCTCTCCCAGCGTGCGTTCTGACCAGAAGTTCGAGGCGAATCCAGCGGTGGCGACGAGAGCCTCCGAGGAGGCCTGCCTGAAATGGGCGTAAACGAGTAAGAGGTAGCAATATCCGCCTGTCGGAAGAAGCACTTGGAAACATGGAGTAGGAAGGCGGATAAAGTAGAATGGGCTTGGGCCCGCCAAGATAATTACAAAACAAACTGATCGATTCTGGAAGTGGGGTGGGCGCTTGAAGCAGACTAGGATCTGGGAATCCACAAGCACCTGTACTTTTAACGACTGGCGTGTATGGGTACCTTCTCCTACTCCGACCCCATCGTATCTGTGAGGCCTACAGCCAACCCGTATCATGAGCACGCACGGTAAGGATGCAAGGGCCTTGGAGGGCCATGTCGAAGCCTCTCGAGCGGGGCGCGGCCGGCGAGAGCGATCAGGGATGGGCCGAAGGGGCAAGCATGCAGGGGCACCCCTGGGAGAAGGTTGCCCCTCCTCACTGTGCGGGCTGACTGTAGTCGGGGATGGACAGACCTCCCTTTAGCAAAACGTGGTTTAGTGAAAACGACCTGAGGCCCAATCCTGGCGGGCGCAAGCCTGGAAGATGACGGCCACGGCGCCCTCTCGAGCACCGAAAACGGAAAATATTCACGAATCGACGTGTCACTGTTGGGGGTTCTGTCCTGTAGCGTGCCGCAGGAGATCCGCGCGAAAAACAGGGCTAGGATCGGGAAAAATCGCTCCAGAGCGTTCCGGAGCGCTCTCAGAGCGTTCCGGAACGCTCTGGAGCGGCCGCGGCGCCCAATACATCCTCCGAACCTGCCGACTCTCAGAGATTTCGAGTCATCCCGATCCGATTTTGTCCCGATCTTCGCGTCGTTTTAGGGGGGCCCCTTCCCGCCGCGGCGAGCGGGCGCCTCTCGTCCTCGGCCGCCGCCGCCGCCGGCGCCGCCTCGGCCGCCGCCGCGCCGCCCGGCCCCTGCTGCGGCGGGCGCTCGGAGGGCACGCGCCCGTCGGCGGCCGCCGCCGCCGCCAGTCGTCCTCGTCGAGGTCGTCGTCGTCGTCGTCGTCGCCGTCGCCGTCGTCCTCGTCGTCCTCGTCGCCGTCGTCGCCGTCCTCGTCGACTCGTCGCTGTCCTCGTCGTCGAAGTTCGCAGCCCTCCTCGTCGGCATCGTCGCCGGCCTCGTCGTCCTCTTCGTGGTCTTCGTGTTTGTTGATGGGGAGAGAGAAGACGGGACCAGACAGCGGGACTCAACAGGAGGCATCAGAACACGAGCGCCGCCGCACATCAGAAGCCACGCTATATATATATATATATATATATATATATATATATTAAAAAGAACGAGAATTCGTCGTGGTCTTCGTCCTCAGGGTCGCAATCGCCGACGCCGTTGTCGTCGCCGTCTTTCTCGCGGTCACCCTCGGCTCTCCTCGTCTCGGTGATCCTCAGAATGCGTGTAAGCGCCAACGTGTGCTGGTCCACCAATCCCGTCGATGCGACGCACGTGCAGGAGCGAAGGGCGACGCAGGCTGCGCAACCGGCATCGAGCTGATCACTATCCCTAATATTAAGAAGCCCACATGCGATGACAGTCTTAGGGATGTGACCTCAGAACCTCGGGGAGCCCTTAAGATCGGCATCGAGAGAAGGC